TTTCCCCATTTGAAAAATGGGGCCAAAAACCACTTAGTTGAGGTTAAACAAGAAAAAAAAGTGCCTTTGAGAAGGAATGATAGAATGAAACAAAACTGGGATTCAACCTTCTCAGTTTCCCCATTTGAAAAATGGGGCCAAAAACCACTTAGTTGAGGTTAAACAAGAAAAAAAGTGCCTTTGAGAAGGAATGATAGAATGAAACAAAACTGGGATTCAACCTGGTCTCCTCATGACACTCCCACCCAGCAGAAAATTTTGTTCTGTCTGCTGTCCGCACGAAGACAGCAAGGCAGAGACAGAACAAGAACCCCCTCCACCAGGAAGTGGTCCCTGTTCTGTCCCCAGACTTAGTGGTGTGTTCAGTGGCAGTTGCTGAGGTTTGTCTTTTGTGGAAGAATACTCAAAAGGACCCCTACCTGCTTAAAAGTTCAAGTACGAGGTGCAGTGCTAAGTATCTTGTTGTACTTCAGATCTCCAGAACTCACTCATCTTCCAGAGATACAGCTTTATGCCCTTCCATGGCACCAGCAACTGCCTTCCACTGTCTGCCTCTGAGATTGACAATTTGGGGTTCTCCCTGTGAGATCAGGCTCTCTTTGTCCCTGGTGACTGTCTCAACTCACTGAGCATAATATCTTCCAGGTTCAACCAGGTTCTTCAAGATGGCCATCTCCCTCTTCTCCAAAGCTGAATAACGGTACAGATAGACATATTTTCCTTTTCCATCCCTCCCTCGGCAGACACAGATTATTTCTACATCCTAGCTGTGTGAATCTGCAGCTGTGTTCAGGTGGAATCTCATCTTCAAGATCCTGATTTTGATTCTTTGGCTGTATACTCAGGGTGGACTTGCTGGGTCAGATGAGAGTTCTATTTTTAATTTTTTGAGGAACCTCTATACTACTTTTCTGTATCAGCTGCCTTATTTACATTCCCACCAACAGGGTGCAAGGATTCCCCTTGCTCCACATCCCCAACACCTTGTCTTTTGGATAGAAACCACAAGGCAGGGAATCTCTCCAGTTTTGATGCTGTGCCCTGGTAGTCAGCAATGGTGAGCACTTTTCTATTGACCTAGTAGCCATTTGTCCACTGAAATCCTTGAGCCATGTTTTAGTGGGGTCATTTTGCTTTCTGCTATTGATTGCCTTTGTATTTGGACTGTTAACCCCTTATCGCCTATAGGGTTTGCAAACATTTTCTCCCAGCTCATAGGCTGCCTTTTCATTTTGTTGATTGTTGCCTTGGCTGTTCAGAAGCTTCCTGGTTGGATAGTGTCTTGCGTGTCTATTTTTGCTTCCTTCGCCTGTGCTTTTGGTTTCATATCCAAAAAATCATTGCCAAAACCAATGTCAAGCCACTTTCCCCTTGTGTTTTCTTCCAAGAGTTTGACAGTTTCTAATCTAAGGTTTAGGTCTTTGGAAAGGTGTCAGCTGGTCAAACTGTGCTCCTGGGAAAGAAGCTGGGGATGGGACCTGTGTCTCACCCCTCTTGTCACCTCCAGTCTGTGCCACGGCCTCTACCATCCCTTCTCCCAGATGGCTTGGCACAATTGAAGGAGCCACAGCAAGGATATATGCTGTGCAGCCCAGAGAAATCAGAGGTGTCTTCACAGAGGTGGTGGTCTAGGTGGTGTCTCCAAGGTCAAATAGGAAAGTGCAAGGAGTTTCCTTAAAAGGGGGATGCATTCCTGGATGGAGGCACTACCCACACCAAGCCTGGAGAACTGACTCTGCTGAGCCCTGACCCCAACGAGCTTGGAAGGTTAGAGGGCAGAGTTTGAAGGGACTGCCCTGACCTGGATCATGGCACCTCCTGCAAAGGCACAGGATGGACTCAGTGTCCAGTACTTCTTGTTGCAACCCAAGGCAAGGATACCAGGTTCCCACAACACACCACACCACACCACACCACCCCCGATTCCCCCTTCTGTGGCTCCTGGATGGAGCAGGGTGCACTGGGCTGGGAAGCAGGTCTGTGGGGGAACTCCAAAGCTGGATAGCAGGCTCCAGGCCCCCCACAGTGCATCCTTCCAGCTGCAGCCCTACCGCTGCCAGGTTCCTGTCTGGGGCCACAGCGCCACCTGCTGACTCTGAGGGGAAATCTTAGGAGTCAGGGGAGACCCTGAGGCAGGGTGGGAAGGGGAATACCCCTGCCCCCACCACCAAAATGTGCTGGTCCCCCAGGAGAGGGTCCAGATGCTCCAGGGCCCTCATTCTCACTCTGTACTTGTTTGGGAAGCCTGAGTTTAAAACTTGACTCTGAGGGGAAATCTTAGGAGTCAGGGGAGACCCTGAGGCAGGGTGGGAAGGGGAATACCCGAGGGTCCAGATGTTCCAGGGCCCTCATTCTCACTCTGTACTTGTTTGGGAAGCCTGAGTTTAAAACTTGGTTCCACCACTGATGGCTGCATGATCTCAGCTGATTTATGATTCTCTCTGAGCTTGAACCCAACCCCAAGAAAGTGAGCACATCTGGCCTTCAGATTGACATGAAAGGAAATAGCCAACCAGTCTGTGTCCAGTAGAGTTTGGTGGTGCTCAGTGGTTCCCTGGGAGGCTCACAGGGAGAAAGTTCTGCAGCATGACCCAGCCAGGACAACTGTGACCCTAACGCTGCCATTTTCAGAGGCAGTGCGGAGTCAGAGCAGATGTACAAACCCCAGGTCTCAGCAGGCTTTGCCTACTTCAAAGCCAAATCCCTCCCTTCCACCCAGCACAATGATCAAAAGCTTCACCTGTGTCCAGCCTCCTGGGGACAGGTGAGGAGAGAAGGCTAGTGACCACTCTGCCCAATTTCATCAGGTCTGCCCTTCGTTTGCTGGAGAGTTTGCCCCACTTTAAAATGTGCTTTCTTAAGGAAGCCAGATGGTTTTGCAGAAAGTTTATCTCATGTTAACCTAGGTTAAAGTCAGCAGAGGGCATTTTGGAAGCAATGAGGGTCAGAGGTCATGGAAATACACAGAGCTACACCTCAAAGCCCCTCAGACTTCTCCCTCTGGAATGCCTTGTGCTCCATAAAAAGGGTTGTGGCAGCCCATGGGGTCCACACTTCCTACCCCAAAGTCTCACTTCTGGCTCTACTTGCAAGTTCCCTGGGAAGGGACCTGACTAGCCAGTCAGTCCATGTTTATCAGCCCAACTGCCACTGACTGGTGGTGTATGCCAAGCCCTGTGGTGTAAATGCCCCATCAGGGCTGATTTCAAAGCCCTGTGAGCTGTCCTGGGACAAAGAACTGGCAGGATGTATGAGATCCCTGTTATTAAACATTCTGACTACATGGGTGGGGTCAGCAGCAATGACCTCCACCCAGATAACAGGGAAATAAACTCACACACCCAAGCAGTGCTGGGCTCAGGCTAGTCATTACAACCTACTGGAAGTTTCTGTAGCTGTATTGAACAACACACTCTTAAAATCTTGAAAATTTAGGAATCAGTCATGTAAGCCATCAGTGCTGGCCCTGGCCCAACACACTGCTGGCCAACTACCAAGCCAAATAGCCACCAAGGCCAGCCAGTTGACCAGCCGCTCCCAGACACCTGCTCTGACACTTCCCAGTATCAGCCACCCAGAAAACCTAAGCATCTTTATTTCAGCAGCCCCCTTCCTGATGAATGGGAAGGTGCTGATGAGTCCAGGCTTTCCAGGCCACTGGGTATCTTAGCTGCTGTGACAGAATACCACTGCCTGGAGATAGATGAACAACAGATATTATTTGGAGGCTAGAGTCTAAGAACAGGAGACTACAGCCTCTCCAGTGTCCTCAAATTGTATGGGGCAGGGCAGGACAGGAACTCTCAGGCCCTTTCATAAGGGCTCCAAGTCTGATCTCTCCTCTGAGGTACAAAATGAAACTGAGACAGGGCAGTCATGGTGCCTAAGTGAAAAGCTTTCTAAAAGACAGTGTGGAGTGACACACAAGGTCAATAGTTGTGTCAAGTAGCTGGTGGACAGGACAGGTTTTTGCCTCAACTGTGTTGGCTGCCCTGCCCAGCACCTTCCTGGATGGCCGTGCTCCAGGCTCCTGGCAAGTCTGGATTGAATTCAGCTCCTCCTGGGACCCAGGTACTCCACAGGATATCATCTGGCTTTTCTCTCCCACTCTTCCTAAGGGCTCCAGGTTGGTCCACTGGCCCAGCTCTGACTGCTCCACAGAAGCAAGCAGATCTCCCCATGGCCCTGAGCCCCCAGCACACTTCCCCAGTCCTCTACCTGGATGGCCCCAACCCACCTGGCAGCAGTACTTCCTTCCCCTGTGCCTCAGCTTCCTGCCAAGCATCTAATTTTGGGGTGGTGAATGGGAGTCCAGGATATCCCAAGGCTGAGTACTGAGGCTCCACCTCCACACACTTGGCACCATCATTTTACTGATATGACCTAGTTCTGGGCACCTGGTTTACCCACTATCTTGGTGCTGGAAATTATAGGCAACTAGGCACTGTTTAGAGCTCCCCTCCTCTCACAGACCCTCAGAGCAGCCCAGGAGCTGGGGCGGCTGTGCTCTCACTTTACAAATGGGTAGATGGGGGCACAGAGAGGCTAAATGGATGGTACTAGGCCACAAGATTGATAAAGGGTGGGCTGGGTTGATTCCAGACAGCCTTCCCTGCCAGTTCCTCACTCAAAATCCCAGGCTGAGCTCATTCCTAGTTCTTGTAGCTAGAGAGGACCTGGGGCCTTCACAGCAAAATCTGGAGAGGAGTTCAGCACCTTTATTCTCAGACTGGGGCCCGGAAGGTCAGTCACAGCTTCAGCCCCAAGAAATGCCATTGACACAGGGACCCGAGTCCATCAAACTAATGACCAAGTTGGATCCATGGATCTCACAGGAGACACAGAAATGGGACACAAGTCTACATGTGCTTGTAGAGGCACAAGCTTGCACATGTACACATGCCATCTCCAGAAACAGCTTTGGCTCCTGGAAAGAACTGTGGGCACTGGGACCATTGTGACCTCAGGGGTGAGATCAGAGCTGGCCAGGGTGGGGAGGAGCAGTGCCCAGAGACAGGGCTGACCAGCCAGGTGTGAGGACAGAGCTGTGCCTGGGCTCTGTGAGTCCTGACACCACACCCCAATCATGGACGGGCAGCACTCTGAAAGGCCACGCAGCCGCAACACAGCTGATAGAGTGCCATCAGCCACATCCCTCAATCCCAGGTCAGCCCCCAGAGAGCAGGGAGCCCACGCCACCCTTCCTCACTGGCACTCCAGCTTTCTACCTCCCAGGAGAGTGTTCTCTGCAGGCAGCAAGGCCCTCAGCTCTTTGGGCATCCTGCCACCAGGAGCACCTGGGGAGGGATTTGAGGTCGTCCATGATACCACTGTCCTCAGCAGGGTAGAGGAGGCAGGAGGGAGGAGACTAGACCATGGGATCCACCTTGCCCTGCACATGGCCGCTGACTTCTCAGGAGAACCAAAGGTGTGGATGGATGTGGGTCACACCAGTCAGTGCCAATGAGTGAGTGAATGGCCAGACACACTGTCCACCTGCTTCTCTGAGCATTGCCTCTAGGGAGCAGATGGAGAGGACACAACAGCCAGGATCTTCAGATTTACAGGAACACAGGGTGAGGAAGGCTCCTCCCAGGTCTCCAGTGACCCAGGCAGACACTAGGGCCAGCTCCACCCTCCTGGGCCTGCAGGCCACTGCTCAGCCTCCTTTGACCCCAACCCAGGCAGGTGCCTCTCCACAGTGGCACAAAGCAGTCTCAGGGGCTGTGCCCCAGGTGAGTCCCATGGAATTGGGTCTTGTGATCTATGTGGCTGCTTCCACAAGTGTTCTGGTAGCTTCCTGTGTACTTGGTGCCTCCCCAACAGCCATCATGCAGGGAAAGGTTACTGTCTGTCCCCCTCAGCCACACCCTGAGTTGTATATAAGCCAGGAAAAAGCTTCCTTCCATGGGAGTTTGTGGAAAGTGTTCAAGACATTTTCATAGTTTTAAAAATGCATTTACTTCTGAGGCCTGGGGGCCATGACACAGGTTTGGAGCATGTGAGCTCCATCTCACAGGGTGGAAAGAGCCCTCTCTAGGATGTCTGGACAGTATTCCCATCACATGGTCCCACCTCGTGATCTCATCTTACACAATCACCCCCCAAGGCCTCACCTCTCTCACTGTCACATTGGGGACTGGGATTCAGCATGTGGGGTGAGGGAGGAGGGGACACAACACAGCCCAAACAGAGACTATAGCAATGATGGCCTTCATGCCCTCCCTTCAGGACAGACATCCACCCACTTCTCTGCTCCCAGAGCATAAATACTTCCCCCCAGTACATACCCTCCACACAGGAAACTTCACCAGGACAGAGCAGCCTGCATCCCCTTTGTCTCACCAAAGCCCAGACATGCAGGAATGCAGGTTCTCAGGAAGCCTGGCCCAAGGACCTGCTTGCCAGGTCTAAGGGGAACAGAAAAGAAACGCACACCAGCAGATCACCCACAACATGCTTGGGCAGCTGGCAGGGTGGTAAAGGTGGCAGAGAGCAGACTGCCAGGTCCTGGGTGAGTTGGTAGGAAATGCATCAGAGACCACATAGGGCTGGGACTTCCTTGGCAACATCCCCCCCACCTCCATCAAGAACTCCATTTGTTGTGCAAGTACTTGTGCACCAGACACTGTCTCGGGCATCAGGAAACAGCTGGGAACACGTTAAAGATCCCTGCCCCCATGGCTACATTCCATTGGGGGAAATAGCCAGTCAACAATAGGCATCATAAAGTAAAGTATACAATGTAACAAAAGAAAGGTGATATGAAAAAAAATCAAATTGAGAGGTAGGGGAGCAAGGATACAGAGTGGGGGTCAGGCTGCAAGTTCATCAAGAAGATAGCTTGGAGAAGGTGAGGCACAGGGACAAGTTGGTATCCGGAGGGAGACTGTTCCCCAGACCTAAGGAGTGGCCAGTGCAGAGGTCCTGAGGTAGAGGTGCACCTTACCATGTGAGGGACAGCTGGAGCTCACAGGGCTGGGGCAGGATAAGCTAAGGCAGCAGAAGCGAAATAGATCAGAGGACAGAATTATTTCTCTTCTCATACATCTTTTCTTTCCTTTTTATTACAGTATGGTTTTACATATAGTAAATTTTACCCTTTTGAGTGTACAGCTCTGAAAATGTGAATATGCATGTATCCACTCCCACAGACAAGATATGAAACAATTCTGTCTCCCAAACACTCCTCCAGGTCCCATATAGCAAACCCTCCTCAAACCACGGAGCTGATTTCTGTCTACATGGGGTCATCTTTCCCAGAATATTATAGAATGAAATGAGGCAGGGCATAGTTTTCTTTCTTTCCCATGGCCTAATGTACTTCTGCATATCCACGTTGTTGAGTTTATCAGTAATTCATTCCTATCTATTGCTAACTCATTTTCTGTGGATGTAACACAGCTTGTTTATACCCTCATCGAGTGGAGCACTTTTGTATTCTGTCAGTTTTCAGCTATCATAAATAAAGCCACTGTTACACACTTGTGTGTAGACACAAGTTTTCACTTCACGTGAGTAAATGCCTAGGATGGGACAATTGAGTCATGCATTTGGTGTGTTTGTAAGATAGTACCCAACTACTCTCTAGAGTGCTGGGCCTTGAACTTTCCTACCAGCAAAAGTCCCAGTTCCTCTGCAATTGCACCAGTACACCAGTATTTCCAGTTTTCCTGACTCTAGCACACATGCCATGATGTCCTCCAGGGTTTCAACTTACTTCCCCCATAAGAAATAATGTCCAGTACTTTTTATGTGCTCATTTACCATCTGTTTGTCTCCTTTAGTGGACCACTTGTTCATGTCCTTTGCCTGTATCTTGGTAGTTTACTTGTATAGTTGTTTGGTTTAGCATTGAATGTTCTCTACGTGTTCTAGATATAGTCCTTTATCACATATGTGATTTGCAAATACTTCATCTTTTTTATTTTTTTTCTAGACATCTTTCAGAAAGCATAAGTTCTTAGCTGTTATTATATCATCACTTCTTTTATGGATAATGCTTTGATGTCACATCTAAGAATTCTTTGTCTCACCCAAAGTCATGAAGATTTTTCTCCTATGTTTTCTTCTAGAGGTTTCAGAAGTTTTGGATTTACTTTTGACTCTGTGTTCTGTTTTGAGTTATTTTTTTGCAAATGGTGTAAAGTATAAATTGGGACTTATGTTTGCATGCAAATATTCAGTTGTTGTAGCACCACAGGTTGAATTGATGATGCTTTTTTAATTGAATTACTTTTGTACCTTTATAAAAAATAAATCAGACTCATATGTGTGGATCTCTTTCTGGACACCACATGCTATTCCATTTATTTATATTTCTGTGCTTCAATTCATATTACACTGTTTTGATTACTGTACCTTTATAATAATTATTAAAATTTGTGATGGTCTTGAAATTAGCCCTCCAATTTTTCCTTCTTCAAAGTCAGTTTGGCTATCCTGTTCCTCTATATCCTCTCATATAAATTTTAGGGAAAGTGTGTTTATTACTGTCAAAATATGGCATTGGAATTTAATGGGCATTTCATATAATATATTTATATAAATTTAGAGAAAATTGACATCTTAATAATAGCAAGATGCACTAATCCATGAACATGGTATATCCCCCATTTACAGTCTTCTTGATTCCTTTCATCAGTATGTTGTAGTTTACAGTGTACAGATCTTGTTAGCCAGACATGGTGACACTTGCCTGTAATCCCAGCATTCTGGGAGGCTGAGGCAGAAAGATTACAAGTTTAAGCCCAGCCTAGGCAATTTGGAGATCTTGTGAGACACTCTCAAAATTTAAACATTTTTTAAAAGTTTTGAAAGTGGCACTGGGGATTTAGCACAGTGGTTCTGCAGCCTGCCTCACAAGTACAAGGTCCCAAGTTTGATCCCTGGTACCAAAAAAAAAAAAAAGTTTTGAACATGTAGCTCATTTCAAAGGCCCTGGGTTCAATCCCTAGTACCACAAAAAATTAAAAACATTGTATAGATCTTGCAATTATTTGTACTATTTATACCTAAACACCTCATATCATAGTAGATAGTACTTTTAGCCCCCAATTGCCTCATTGTTAATATAGAGAAATATGACTGATTTTTTTATACTGACAAAATTTGCAAAGTTTCTGAACAACTTTTTAGTTCTAGAACCCATTTTTAGTTCTAATATGTGGAATTTTCTACTGTGATAACAATGTCTTCTACAAATATTTTCTTCCTTTCCAGTATGCTCTTATTTTCTATTTCTTGACTTTTCACATTGACTAAGCCCATAGTACAGTACTGAATAGAGAAGATATCCTCACCTCATTCCCAATTATGTGAGGGAACCATTCACTTGTCACCATTATGTACAATATGAGCTGTAGTTTTATAGATGTTCTCTATCAGGTTGAGGGAGATTTCTTAGTTCTTGTTTTTACTGTGATTAGATGTTGAAGTTTGTTAAATGCATTCTCTGTCTCTGTTCAGATGATTATATGATTTTCTTCATTAGTTTGTCAATATGGTGAATTATGTTAATTGATTTTCAAACATTCAACCAGATTTGCATTCCCAAGAGAAGGCTCATTTGGAGATGATAGATGACCATTTCAATATATTTTAGATTCCTTTGCATTTTGTTAAGAAAATGTGTGTCTGTTTATAGAAGATTTAAAGGTATAGTTTTCAGTTTTTGCTATATTATTGTATGGTTTGGGTATCAGGGCAATACTTGCTTGATGGGGAAGTTTTGTAGTTATCAGTATTCTTTCTTCCTTAAATGTTTGGTGAAATTAAAGAGTCATCTAGGTCTACCTTCTTGTGTGGGGGAGAATATCTGCTAAAAATTAATTTTTATATTGGATATGGTGTTGTGTAATATATAGGTGAGCTTTGGTATTTTAGCTTGAAGGAGTTTCTCTATTTTGTTTAACTTATAAAATTTATTGGCTTAGTTATTCATAATATTCCCTCATCACCTTATTAATATCTATGGGACCTATAGTGATATACTACTCTTATTCTTAATACTTGGTATCTTCTTTCTTTTTTTGTCTCAATAAATCCTGCTAGAGGTTGATCAATGTTTTCATCTTTTCAAGAAACCAGATGTCCTACTTACTTTCTCATTTCTGGACTCAAATTAAGAAGTAAAGGTTTATTTAGCTAAAGATTTATTTAGAGGT